CATAGGAAAAATGTTTTCTAAAGATTGTTTTCTTTATTTTGAAGACATTTCTAGTTTATTAGCTCTCATTCAACAAATCTGCTCCAAAATAAGTTGGGAGCATGTAAAGACTTAACATAGTGTCTGGCACACAGCACTGAATAAACTGGGAATACAAAATGAGTAAGATCTAATCCAGCCCTTGTAGTCTGGGAAATGCAATAAATATATTTTTTTAAATGCCATTAAAAATACAAGTAATCTGTTGGCAGAGTATAAATTAAGAGTATGGGATTAACAGATACAAACTACTATACATAAAACAGATAAACAAGAACATACTATATAGTACAGGGAACTATGTTCAATATCTTACAATAACCTATAATGGAATATAATCTGAAAAAAATACATACATATATATATATATATATATATATATATATATATATATAAAACCAAATCACTTTTCTGTACACCTGAAACTAACACAGTATTGTAAATCAACTATACTTCAATTTTTAAAATGAGAAAAGTCAGCCAGCTTCCTAATGAAGCTAAGGGAAAAAGAAGTACAAGTAAGCTGAGCAGGAGGAAACTATTTCTAGTTAAAAGGTTTCTGAGGAAGTAGCATTTGAGCTGGGGTTTGAGTAATGCACTGAATTTGGATAGACAGAGAAAGCACAAAAGTGAGGCACTGAAGATTAGGAAATTGGTCTGGGCAAGGCCTACAAATGGTAAATGCTTGTTTATGAATCAGCAAATATACCAAACTGACTCGAGTGTAGAACTCACAAATGAGATGACTGAAAGAGAAGGTGACACTAAGAGAAACCTGATGCAGATTAACAACTCCCAAAGCTAGCTGATCATCTGGGTCACATGATGAATTTGTTAAATGTATTTACGGACGCTACCCCTAGAGCTGCCTGGCTCAGGAGCCTAGGATAGGGTCATAGAATTTGTATTTTTAAATATGGTAGGCCATAGGTGATTCTAGTTAGCTAGGTTCAAGACATTCTGGCTTAAATCAGAGATGAGTATTGGTCCTCCTCCTGTACCCAAGACAAAACGGCAGTAGTTGATCTTAACACTGTCCTCCTGGCATTATTTGGGAAGAGGTAGAGGTAACGGACTCTGCCTAAAGTTTTGATTTATGCTGAATAAAGTGATCCAAAGATGAAATGTTTACTTCTCAAAACCTCTTCAATTCTTACCCCTTACTACGCATCCATTTAAAAAATGAGGTAGAAGTATGAATTGATGTGAAAATATAACTTTAACAAAACATGTACCAAATTTGTATGCTGAAAACTACAAAATGCTAATGAAAGAAAACAAAGGAACAAAATAAGTGGAGAGACACACCGTGTTCATTCTTTGGAAGACTCAACATAGTAAAAATTTCAATTGTCCCCAAATTGATATATGGGTTTTACACAATTTCTATTAAAATTCTAGTGTAAAATAGTTGTAAATTAGTTGGTATGGTTGAATTAATATTCTTAGGTTTGATAATGGTATTGTGGCTAGGTAGGAGAGTGTCCTTACTCTAAGGAGATGCATACTGAAATACTTAGAAATAAAAGGTCATGAAGTCTGCACTTTACTTTGAAATGGTTTAGCTTTAAAATAATACTATATAGATAAAGCAAATATGGCAAAAATGTTAATTAGTGAATCTATGTGAAAGACACAGGTGTCTTTATTATACAACAACTTTTCTGCAGATGTAAAAATTTTCAAAATAAAAGATTTGGGTAGAGTTCAGTAAATTGTGAGGGAACCACTGAATATCCATATGGAAAATAATGAACCTTGACCCCTACTTTATACTGTACACAAAAATTAGAGATGGATTGTAACCTGAATATAAAAGCTAAAACTATAAAGCTTTTAAGAAAAATAGAGAATATCTTTATGACCTGAGAGTAGGTAAAGATTTCCTATACAAGAGACAGAAAGCAGTTACCATTAAGGAAAAAAATTCATCAATATATACAACTTCTGCTCATCAAAGACATCATTAAGAAAATAAGCCATAGTCTGGTAGAAAATATTTGCAGAAATATATCTGGCCCAAAAAACTCATGTCCAGAATAGATAAAGAACTCCTACAATTTCATGATAAGAAAAAGGCCAAAAAAAAAAAAAATCTAAAGAGTGGGCAAAACATTAGAATACATGATTCAGAAAGGAAGACAATACATAAACAATGTGCCCATGAAAAGTGTTCAAATCAATGGTGAATGTACATTAAAACCACGATCTATCACTACACATCCATCAGAATGGCTAATATCAAAAAGACTAACAACCAGTGTTTGCCAAGGATGTGGAGAAACTGTGACTTGGACACACTGCTGGGCGGAATGCAAACTTGTAGAATCTTCAGGAAAAGTTTTGACTATTTCTTATAAACAATCACCTACCTTTCAACCCAGAAATTTCACTCTTACATATTTACATAAGAGAAATGAAAATAAATTCCACAAAGATACCTGTACAAAATATTCATATCAGCATTATTTATAATAGCCAAAACCCGGAAATGACCCATATGCCCTTCAATGGGAGAATGCTAAACAAATTGTGCCGTGTTTATACAAAACAGTACTACCCAACATGAAAACGAAAGAGCTGATCAAGTCAACAAAACCTAGCCACAAAAGAATACATACTGTATGATCCATTAATATGAAATTCCAGGGCAGTTAAAACTAATCTATGGTGAAAAAAAATTAGAACAGTGGTTTCCTCTTGGGGGTGGGGTGGGGACTCTCTTGGGAATTTTGTGGGTGTTGGAAATGTTCTGTATCTTTACAGGGGTATGCATTACTAAGTGCATCCATTTGTCAAAAAGTGTACAAAGTTTGGACATTTCACTGAATGTAAATTTACCATTTAAAAATTAAATGGGGTGGGGTGGGGAGTAGGGATACCTGAAACAAAAATGGCAGTTGGTGAAGCCAGGTCTGTTGGACAGAATTGATTACCGTGGGGTGGGTATAGCTAAGTGGTAGAGTGCTTGCTTAGCATGCATAAGGTCCTGAGTTCAATCCCTAGTACCTCCACTAAAATAAAAAATTAAAAAAGGATTGACCACCACAGCATTTTAATCTTGTTTGGAATTTTTCATAATAAAAAAAGGTAAAATGGACCAGGAGCCAGAGAAATTTGGGTTTGAATCTTATCCCATTCTAGCTGCAAGATTAACACCCATGACATCTCTTTTCAACCTCTGTTAGTGATAATAATACTCACACTTCAGGACAAGCAAGGATAAAGGCCCCTGTGCTTTTGGTGAGGAAGGCAGAGAAAGCCACTTAATCAACTGAATCAGACTGGGGAGGTACACATTCTGGAAGGGTGGGAAATTGAATGAATGTCACAGGTGGGGTTAGGCTCATGAAGGCCTTGAATGGCAGGATTAGTAAACCTAACCCAATAAGCATTTGGAATCTGCTAAATATTTTTATATTTTAGCCCAAATTTCAGAGTTCATATTTTAACTATTTAACAAATAGTTAACAAATTTCAGTTAATAATTTAACATATTTTCAAATATTATAAAGAGAAATAGAGGAATGATAAAAATATAATTTATCATTCATGCTTAGATTAGCAGTCTAAATCTGTAACCACAAGGAGAAAATGAACTGGGTAGACTAAATGAAGATAAGCTAATTAAGAGCTAGGCCGTTTCTCGGGGAGCAGGTGAGGGTAAACGTCTGATAAGTCACTGACCAGTAAGGGTTCTGTGGATCCAAACTGGACGAGAGGGTGGCAATATAAACACACAACTGAGAAGGTGCACAGTACAGAAGGAATTGGTAGTTTGGTGGCATGACAGGATAGAAAAGCTTATCAGGAAGACAGTTTTAGGAAAGCTAGACTTCAGACTTTGCGTAATTAACTTCTCATTCTCAAATCTTCATATGAGTCATTTTCTTGGGGAACCCCTTGACCACATCTCCCTTGGCAAGTTTAGATCAGGTTCTTATTACACATTCAAAGGATTATATTTTGTTGCTTCAGAACATTCACTTCTCATGGTTTACGATTGTTTAGTGTCAATTATAATTGTCTAGTAACATGTGTGAGAAAGGGTCTGGTCTGATTTTACTTGCCATTACCTCCCAAGTGCCAAATACAGTGCCTGGCACAGAGCAGATGCTCAATATTTGAATAATTCTTAAAGAGGCAATTGAAACTGTCCTACTACTTAGGAGTTAAAGACAGAGAGACTACTACATTGTTCTGGAGACTGTGGGCAGGCTAGGCTAATCTCGGGGAAATTCACAGCCTTCAATCTTTTTAAATAAAAATAAATGAACTGACCATTCCATTCAAGAAAAAAGAAAAAAGAGTGAAAAAAATGAAACAAAATCAGTGTAAGCTATCTTTGAAAAGGCCAATAAAATACACAGTTACGCACAAGGCTAATCAAAGGAGAAAGGAAACCCACATGCATGTTTAGAGTAAGTAAAATGATGTAACAACCGATGAAATTAATTTAAAATACAGCAGAATACTATATCCGACTCTGACCAAGCATATTAGAATAGTAAAGTAAAATGGGCACTTTTCTAGGACAGTGAAAAACCAAACATTGATTCAAAAAGAAGAAAATCTGAATAATTTACTAACCATGATGAGTATTTGACGGCTCATCGTACTGTCCGTATACTCCTCTATATGTTTGAATTTTTTAAATAAAATGTTTAAAAATATGCTTTCAAGAAGTAATGCTTTCCTCTCTCTGGGGAAGGCTAAATTTATTCAGCACCAATACTGTCCAGCAAGTTGACCCAACTGACACAGGAAATGTCAAACATCAAGAAAGGAGTCCCGGATCGGCCCAGCGAGGGTTCGCCAATACCGGAGGTAAGGGACTTAGAGCTCAGCTCGCCACACCCAGAGCCCAACGCGCCTGCGCAGGCAGAAGCCGCTCGGCCAACAGGTCCAGCCCGGAAGCGCGGGCGCCCCGCGTCACGTGGTCGCGGACGGAAAGGGGCGGGGCGCGCGGGACGTGCTGCCGCGTAGTCGCCGGCTGAATGGGCGGCGGCTGAGCATGTGTGTACCGCTGAGGCTGCTGCGCGCCTAAGACCCGAAGGTTGCATGCCTGTCCCTGGCCCGACGGTGAAGCCGGCGGCTGCAGGGACGTAGAGGAGGAGGAGAGAAACGGCAGCCAGACACAGGTCGGGTGCCCCTTCCGGAGGCTGCTAGGCCCTGGCTTCGTGGGGGTCATGGCAAGCCTGACGGACCGAGTGCGGGGCAACGGGCGCATCGCCGCCGGACTCCTGCTCAACCTGCTGGCGTCCATCTGCATCGTGTTCCTCAACAAATGGATCTATGTGCACTATGGCTTCCCTAACATGAGCCTGACCCTGGTGCACTTCGTGGTCACTTGGCTGGGTTTGTATGTCTGCCAGAAGCTGGACATCTTTGCCCCCAAAAGTCTGCCGCCTTCCAAGCTCCTCCTCCTAGCCCTCAGCTTCTGTGGCTTCGTGGTCTTCACCAATTTATCTCTGCAGAACAACACCATAGGCACCTATCAGCTGGCCAAGGCCATGACCACGCCGGTGATCATAGTCATCCAGACCCTCTGCTACAAGAAAACCTTCTCTATCAAAATACAGCTCACACTGGTGAGTAGCTTCAGCTTGACGAGGCGCCCCTCCAACCACCCACCTCCTGGACCGTCTTTCCCCCCCGGGAAATTTGAATGGTTAACCTTGCACTAATTCTCTTTCCCATAATCTTGAAATCCACACACATGAGTCATCTGTGAGCATGTGAACTTCAGGCTTATTTGGGAAAGGTGGAAAAAAGCCATTTTGGCACTCTGTTGAGCTTTTAGCCCAATAGCGTTGCTTGTGTGAGTTTTAATAACTACGATTTGATGGAAATGAAATGCTATGATCAGTAAGAAAAGAAAACTGTATTGGGTGATGCAAGTCAGTGTATCAGATTAAGTGCAAAATCTCAAACTGTAAAACGATTATGATCAACGCTAAAAGTTTAGCATAAAATATGTCTCAGGATATGCCTGTGCCGACTTACTGCAGAGGTTTCTGCATCTTTAAATTAAAGAAAATGGACTAAAGTATTTTTGACACTTCATAACTTACAATATTCAAAATCGTAATGCTTTTGTTATACATTTTTGTTTATATATTGTTGAGACACTAGGTTTGGGGGTCCATTTACACCTATGTGCATACATGTGATATTTTTTCTTGCAAAGTGAAATACATTGACTCATTATTTTACCCAGAATTTTAAACAGAATTAAATGTGAGCATAAATATAGAATTATCATTTCACTTTGAAGAACAGGATTAACAGTGTATCTTTTCCGAATGGAAAAAAGTATTTGTGGAGATTTGTTGTTTCCTAGTGATGTTTTTATGATTAACCTTGCAAGACACTGTGAAAGGAATACTAATTTTGTCTCGTGAATTTAATCTGAACAACATTTACCTCTTTTTCTTTACAGATTCCTATAACTTTAGGTGTAATCCTAAATTCTTATTACGATGTGAAGTTTAATTTCCTTGGAATGGTGTTTGCTGCTCTTGGTGTTTTAGTTACATCCCTTTATCAAGTGGTTGGTAATTTTTTTTTCTTTATGTGCCTTTTTAGCAGATTGCATAAATTTTGAAGCTGTGTCCCAAGGTTTAGAAAATACAGTATAGAGACAATAGACTGTTGGAAAGAAAGCATAAGTGCATAAATTGTCTGACTCAAGGTGAAGAGAAGAAAGGAGACAGAGACACGTGGGTGTATGATGCTCACCAAATACCTCCCTACCTGTTTGTAAGTGTATAATACCCATGCTTAACAGTCTGAGTTTGGGGTGATGTTATATTATTTTCTGGGAAATCTTTACAAAATGAGTAGTAAGGCTTTTTACTTGAGGATTGAGTTCACTGGTTATATTTATCATTTACTCTTTAATTATGACATCATTTTGAAGGAGTGAGTACAGGTCCAAAAATTTGAACACAAAAGGAAAATTTCAGATTTATAGATCCTTGCCCCCTCAAAACATACCACAGTTACAGCTTATATATTGACCTCTGGTAATTTGTCTGTGTCAGTACTTTATAGCAGTGGGTATTTTACTTCTTGCACTAGCGCTGTGCTTTGCCTGTAGCAGGCATTTATTAGAAATTTGTTCATTCACTTACTTCGTTACCATAAAATCTCAGCAAATACAGGTTTTTGTTTGTTTCGTATATAGTGGGGAGAAGAATAACGAATGGTATAGGGTACAGTGAAACAGTATTTTCTCTATACTGAAAACCTTGGACTGGAAATTCTGGGTGTGCCTGCATGGGGAATCAGAGCCAAAATGTGTGACCAATTTTACTTTTTTCGCAAATGTTCGCTGGTTATCAACTAAGGCATTCTTGTTAAGAATGTTAGGAGTTTAATGATACAGCCTTAGCATCTTAAATTTTCTAGTACTGGTCATTTCAGAAACATTGTTATGTGAAAATTCTGGGGTTGAATACGTTTTTTAAGTGGCACAGAAGCAGTTTAAATGAAAGAACAGTGACATGAAAGGATGGGGCACCCACTCAGTCTTGTCCCTTGCCTCTAAGATATTCTTTTATTACAGAGAGGTCAGAGGAAGCTCAGGTTTGTGCTTTAAGAAAACTACATTTGGGTGTATTTCAGTGAGTTTAAATTTTTTTATTAGATCCAGTGAATGAATGTTCCTATTTATCTTTTTTGTTAAATGGACTTTTTTTTTGGCCTAGTATGGATTAATTATTGAATATAGCAAGTTTAATTGTTGAACATTAGAATTTCTTGATTTTCTCATCAATAACTTCAATTCACGTTACTCCCCGTCTATGCCAATATGACCATTTTTGTTCACATAAGTCTTAAAATTGCTTTAGATTGGAATCGAAGGGTCCTGTATATTTATCCTCAGGTAGCCATCTGAAATGAGGTTCATCAAGGAATGATTGTCTACTAACTCATGGACAGAGTCTTTGAGTACTAGTAAATGATAAAAGTACTGTTACAGAATAGGTACATTCCCCCCAAAATTCATTTTAAAGAAAGTCGTATTTTTCCATCATATCCTGGTGTAATTTCTGTGTTATTTCTTCTTATACTGCTAGAGCATTGAAAGGAGTTAAAAGATGCATGATCAGCTGTTAGCTTTAGTAATAGATAGACAGTTGACTCCTTCGTTCATTCAGCAGACGTTTCTTCTGCTCAGCTTGCTACAGAGATGAAAAGCAGCTATAATCCAGTGTAGCACAAACACATGGAGACAGGTGATCACAATTAGTATAGCTGAGGGTGTGAGGAAAGTTCTGAGGAACACCAGGAAAGAAGGGGCAGTTCTGCAAGAGGGTGGGGAAGTAAGATGTTATGGGAAAGTTAATTTAAATTGAAGGACACATAGGATAGGAATTTGCTTAGCGAAGAAGTATAGCAGAGGTCTTTCTTGGCAGTGATGTGTGAAGTACGGAGCATTTTTGGAGAACTTGGTTTGTTTGGTGAGACTAGACTTTGTGGAAACTTGTGCACTGTGAAAAGACAAGGCTAAGGGGTGGGTGAGACCACATGGTGGAGTACTGAGTATCTCTAGGAGGAAGTATGCTCTTTATCCTGCGGGCATCAGGAGAGGAGTTCAGCTGGGGGAGTGACTTGATCACTCCCTGTTTTAGAAACTTAACTCTGGTGGCAGTGAAGGGAGAGGAGGAGAAGAAAGGCAGAGTGACAGACAGAGCAGTTGGGAAGCTCTCCAGGGCTCAAGGGGCAGGCGGGCAGGACCTGAACAAGGACAGTGGTACTGGGCGTGGAGGTAAAACTCCAGGGCCCTTTTGGAAAAAGAATTAGTGGGACCTGACTGAATGTGAGAGTGAGGAAAGTAAGGAGCCCGAGCCTTGGAGATTATTATATCTTCATTATCCGACCCACCCAGGAGGAGCTACTCTGGGAAAGGAAGGAAGGAGCTTCACCGTAAACAAGTTCCTGCATATTATCTAATGAAGCCAGCCAGTAAGCTGTGGAAGGTGTGATGTTCAGGAGGCTCAGGGAAGGAGGTCAGAACTGCAGGTGTCAGCGGAGAGTAAAAGAGATCAATTGGGGAGAATGAAGAAGGCCAGTCTCCTTTACAGATAGTAGGCGGAGGGAGAGGTGAGTGAAGAGGGTGTGCAAACTGAAGTCAGGTTCTTTCAAGAGCATCTGCAGGTTGTACACGGAGCTCCAGCAGGAAGAGGGCCTAGGAGGGGTCTGTGGATGTGGCTGTGGAGGGGAGGGTGCCCTCTGGGGGAGCAGCTTCTTGAAAGGGATGGCAGCTGGAAGCCAGGCTGCACTGCAGTGTGGACATGTGGAGGCCTGAGGTCCCCACTGTCCCAGGCTGTTCTGTGTTGGACACGCGGCTGCCCAGAGAGGCTGCTGCAGCCACGCGGGGCCAGCAGATCCCTGGTGCCTTCATTACTGCTCCCTGCGTGCCCTGCGCCAGAGAATCGACTCTTTGTCCTTCACAGGCACAGAGAACTCTTAGCAAGGCTGGCAGGAGTCCGCTTCAGATTTCCTGCTATATTTGTCCTGGTGGATTTCTATAGACGAGACTTTATGTAACGGGATACCCAGATCTACAGGAAAAAGAATTACGGAGGAGCGGTGATTCAAAAGCACGACTGTTCCTGCCAGATCGCACTCACACAGTCCTGTGGAGCATTCTTTAAAGCCACCTTTTCAGTTATATTTGTGAGGCATTTTGAGGACTGATGGGATTTGAGGCTTTGAGGCATTGGTTCTACTGAATGATGGTCTTTGAGGGTTTGTGATTATTGAGTTTATTGAGGTGTCCTGGTGGGGGGTTACCCACAGAACAGTCAGCCGTGAAGGGGAAAGTTCTTTCTACCATTGATCGGGTTTTCTGAAGTGAATGAAAAGACCTCACATGCCTTTGTAGCCACACACCTTGGCAGCCACCTGGGATAGCTGAGGTTGCGGTCCGTCTCCAATTAGAGTCCGCCCTGCCCCCTCGTCTTCTCTTTGAGGGGCCATTTTTGGAAAGAAATGAAGTCTGACTGTGCATTTGTATTCCTGCTTATCCTGCTTGTAAATATTATCCTGCTTATTCCTGCTTATAACTTTCCTTTCCTGCCTAATTTTCCCAAGATCTCTAATGTCTGTGAGGCCCTGGATGCAGAGACTTTCCCCATTTACTAGGATCAGGAGGGAAGAGAAGACTGTTTTTTTCTCCTTTACAATCGAGAAGAAAATAGATCATTAAATTTATAAAGCTCCTTTCATCCAAGGTTCTTAAAGGATATGCATGTATATTATTGATCTTTGGAATCTTATAAGATCATTAGGCATTTCCTCTTCCCCTAGCTCTGCCCCACATTCCCATCTTTGTGGCTAGAGTTGCATATTAAGTGATGCTATTTTTTTTTCATTTCTGCCTCACTTGTTTTCTCTCTCAATTTTCAGTGGGTGGGAGCCAAGCAGCATGAATTACAAGTGAACTCGATGCAGCTGCTCTACTACCAGGCGCCGATGTCGTCTGCCATGTTGCTGGTCGCCGTGCCCTTCTTTGAGCCAGTGTTTGGAGAAGGAGGAATATTTGGTCCCTGGTCAGTTTCTGCTTTGGTAAGTTCTAATTGTTTTGATGTCTAAGAAACAAGACAGTAATAATTTCTCCTTTATTAATGCAATTTTTAGTTTTCAGAGCACTGTCTCAGATCCATTTTCACATTTAATATTCAAAATTACCCTGTAAGGGAGGCAAGCAAGCTAAGGATTATTCTTCAGATGAAGAAACTGAGGCACAGAAAGATTAAGGGACTTGATTAAGGTCAAACAGCTAGTCAGCAGCAAGCTCAGGACTAGAATTCAGGTCTTCTGATGCCTGGCTACTATCCTGACCATGCCAAGCTATAGCCCACAAATACTGTCTGGATTTTATTAACTTTTTTATAATGAAAGTATAGCTTTGTTGATTGTATTATAATAATACAAGTAGTACATGCTCATTGTATAGATTTTTGAACATACATAAAAATATAGAGTGAAGGTCTCTCAGAATCCTGCCACACTGAGGTAATTACCTTTACCACTTTGGTAATCTTTTCACAGATCTCTTTTTCATATACACAGACACAGGTATGTGTGTGTGTTTGTTCAATTTTATTTACATGGAACAAAATTTATATGCTCTTCTTGTCATGGATTCCTTTTCCCCAGCCCTCCTACTCACACACACTTCAGCATCCCGTTTCCCCACCCCTGCTTGTTGAAGTAGGTCATGTTCACATTCTAGTGTTTGTTCTCCATATTTTTCTCTGTGCTGTACATGCCCACATATAAACACACACAACATCCACAGGCACGGAAACACGTGTGTATACATAGATTAAATGTTTGTTTCTCTTACAAAAGTGGGGCCGTATTACACATGATTTTCTGTGTCTTGCTTTTCTCACTGAACAATATCTCTTGAAAGTCTCTTCAAATTATTCTTTTGAGTGTCTGTATAATAGCTGCAATTCTTAACCACTGTGAACAGTATTACAGTAAACATCCTTGTACATGTGTCCTCGTGAACTGGGACTTTGTGTTCTATGGAATAGAGTCTTAGAGTGGAATTGCCAAATCAAAGGGGTATGCATGCTGGGGACATTCTAATATAGTTAGAAAGTATAATCCCCTACTGAGGAAAGGAACTTCTGCTTCTCATACTTTTAACACAGTCTGTGGGAGTGTCTTTTTTGTTGGTGACATTAATTTCTCAAACATGCATAGCCCTCAGTCTGTTCCAGGCACTATTCTAAGCACTTCGCAAATATTAATTTATTGGATCCTCGTAACAACTTTATTAGGTGGGTACTATTATTATCCCTGTTTACTGTTGAAGCTGAGAGGTAGAGTTAAGTAACTGACTTAAGATCCAATAGCAGAGCCAGAGTTTGAATCCACACATTCTGGATACAGAGTCCACACTCTTAACCACTCACTAGGCTACCTATGAGCAGATTGGTAGTTGTTTCAAATTTGTGTACTTTGGCCATAGGGCCTTTTTTCCAAAGTAGAAATCAACCGACTGCTCTCAGATAATATTTCCTCTTACTTTTACTGAAGTTCTAGCCAACTTGGTCATCTGGTCTCCTAACCACTGCGGCTCAGGCACCTTAGACTAGAAAGGGAGAGGTTTCCTGTGACTGGCCCTCCAACAGATTTGAAAATGAAGAACTCAGCTGAAAAGCCATCAGAAAGGTCAAAGAAACAAGAGCACAGCAGTCTGAGGCCATTGAATAAGGGAAAGTCTCTTTCATTCCTCTAGAGGACATCATTGCCTCAAAAGTAGAGTATGTAATTGTGTTTTTGATGATGTGCCAGGTCATTAAGAAATAGGTCTGTGACTTCCTGTGAACTCAGTAAAATCAACAGTGATACATTTCTAGAAACAATTTCTAAAGTCTTTAAAGAGCAAGTTTGTCTTGGTTGAAAATTGAACGAACCTCACTGTTGGCAAACAAATGAGGTGTTCCTGTTTCTACCTAAATAGGCAGTACATCGGGCTCCCCTGGTCCCCTTATAACTGCACTGATTTAAAAGCTGAAAGGAGGTAGGGTATAGCTCAGTGGTAGACTGTGTGCTTAGCATGCACAAGGTCCTTGGTTCAATCCCCAGGACCTCTGTTAAAGTACTACTACTACTACTACTACTACTACTAAATAACTAACCCCCCCCCCAAAAATGAATAAAAATAAAAACTGAGAAAACCTACATGAGACAGAAAGAATCTTCAAATATGACATGTTTTCTTTGGAACTGAAACTTCTTAGTAATTCAAATCACAATTAATACTTGCTTTAAATTCTCTTATTTCAGAAATAGAAAATGATTTTATAACTTTTACAGTAATGCTGTGGGATGGGCTTGAACAGAATGTTGTGTGTCTCCAGTGGTGCAGCCACTTTGTCCGCCGTCCTCAGTCATGTTGGTGTACTCACTGTTCTAGGCACATGCCTGTGACACCCATGCTTTCGTGCCTCTGTGCTCTGAACCATACTGTTTCCTCTGCTTGAAATCCTACCCCTCTTAATTCTGTCTCTAATCTAAACATACATTTGAAATCCAAAGACTTTTCTTGCTTTCTCAGCCCAAAATGCCATCTCCAGCCTAGAGAGTCCTGTAGAACCTGTTGTCTCTTTGCTCAATGATGAGGCAGAGCTCAGGACTCATTTTCTTTCATTGAGCTGTGCATCTTGTATTGCTCGCTCTCTTCCACATAGTTATGAGGTAGCATAGCATAGTGAGTTAGGAGCCAGGACTCCAGAACCAGACTCCTCTGGGTGTAGATCTCAGCACTTCCACTTACTAGCTGTGTATCTTAGGCAAGTTGCTTTACCTCTCTGTGTTCTGTTTTCTTGTCTGTGAAAATGGGAGATATTTTACTTCCTTACGGCTGTTTGTAAGGATTAAATGAGCTTGTATGTGTAAAACATTTAGAACAATTCTTGGCATATAATGAGTACTATGTGAGTATAAGCTATGATAATTAAGAGTTTTATTATGTCCTCAGGTGGTTTCTAAGATCTTTGAGGGCAAGAGCCCATTGTGTTCCTTACAAGGCCTGGCCTAGTTTTGTAGATACCCAGTGAATGCCTACTGAATAAGTTTAAATAAGAATGAGTATGAGCAGTTCAATGGATAAAAGATCTGGAAGGATATATACCAAGGTATTAACAGCAGTGAGTGGTTGACATTATAAGAATTCCTTACAAGAGCTCTCATCACATGAGAAAGTAATTTTGTTTTTCCTATTTAATTTTGTATACATGTGAGATGATGGATGTTCTCTAAACTTACTGTGGTAATCGTTTCATCAGTCAAATCATGCTGTCCACCTTAAACAGTACGCAGTGCTGTATGTCAATTACACCTCAATAAAACTGGAAGAAAAAAGAATTCTTTATATTCCTTTTGCTCATCTTTATTTTCTGACTCTTCTATAATGAATATATACTACTTTTATAATAAGAAATTATTACAAAATACTTTTTTTTTGGATGGATAAGAAAAATGAACCTGGAAATTCACATTAAGAAGCAGGATATTATTGGAGCATTTTCCCATTACATTTTATAGACAAAATTACATTTCTGAATAATTTTCATTCTGCTCTTTTACCCTTAGTTCTTGCTGTTTCCCAACTTGATTCTCTCTTTTTTAAAAATCTTTTTTTTTTTTAATGGAGGTACCAGGGATTGAACCCAGGAGTACATTCTAGGCAGGCACTCTACCACTGAGCTATACATATACCCCACCCCCCACTAAAAATCTTATTCTTAAGGTTGATGGAAATTCCTGACGAAGTGTGTTTTTACTTGATGATGGTAATGATTGCAGCAGCTTTGCATTAATGATTCTTTTGGTTTATTTGTAGCTTATGGTCCTGCTATCTGGAGTAATAGCTTTCATGGTGAACTTATCGATTTATTGGATCATTGGGAACACTTCACCAGTCACGTATCCTTTTCCTAGTAACTTACAAGTGCCTAGTCTTTTGTACTCTCCAAAACCCTGTCATCTTCATTTTGTTATTTCAGTCTACATTTCCTATTGCATGGCCTCAGTTGAATAGAGTGAATTCTTTTTTGTTTTTTTAGTGTGTATCTTTTCACACTAGAGTCCTTGGAAATGTAAAGAAATATGTACTAGAGAAATGGGTTAATTTTCTGTACCATAAATGCTGTTGAATTTTCTTAAGTAAGAGCTGCCCTTTTCCCCTACCAAAACTAACATAGATCACCATTCCTTGCACATAGTGGAGTTAAATAAGTATTTGTTGAGCAACTAATGAAGTGGATACTCTGGTTTTCCATCACTTTTCAGTTATTAATAGTAATAGCTAGGTGTGGTTAATCCAAATAACGGAAATAATTGCAGACCAGTCACTCTGACTTTTGAATTTGTTTTTGTATTTATTTGGACATTGGTGTGCCCATGTTCTCAATATTTAAGAAATGAAGTCATGACTTGAAGGTCTGAATCAAACTCAATTGCCCATTTTTAACATTTTGCTTTTAATGAGTGAACACTGAGATGTCAACAAAGTAAAAAAAAGCAGCGTATTTGCCAATTATCAATAAATAACAGCAATGATAATAATAATATTTTTAAAAAACAACACTTAGTAAGTGTTTATTTTGTGCCAGGGACTGTTTGAAACACCTTATGCGTATTAAGCATTTCATTTTTGAGCAGTTTGTTGAGATAAATTCTGTTATCGTACTCTACAGAGGAGGAAGTGGAGGTGCAGAGGGGTTGGATAACTCAGCATCATCCAGTTGAAAAGCTCAGCGTCCAGATTTGAGCCCCTGAGGTCTTGCCCCAGAACTTGTGCACCGTGCTGCCAAATCATGACATCTAAGTTTGTGCCCTGATGAAGAACATCCATTCATTCAACAAATATTTATTGAGCACCCAGTGTAAACCACTCCTTGACTTAATAAGTATTCTCATACTGAATAGCTACTGTATATCGGGCACTGGAGATACAGTAGTGAACCAAAGAGACAAAACTCTTTGCTCTCACAGCCTTAAATTCTGGAGCAGTAGACAGGCTAGAAATGAGAAAAATAAGAAATATACGTATACAGTGTTGGATAATGTTAAGTGACAAGGAGAAAAAATTAAGCAGGAAAGGGAATATGGAATGTCGGGGATAGAGGGCCGTCGGGAAGGCCTCCACAGGAAGGGGACTTCCAAGTAAAGACCTGAAGCAAGTGAGGTTACTCCGAGCAGATGGGCATGGGTGGCATTCCAGGCAGAGAGAACAGCCAGGGAGGGGCCGAAGGGACAAGAGGCCTGTGTGCTGGAGCTGGAGGAACAGAGGGCAGGGGTAGTAGGACTCTGAGAGTAACAGGGAGCCAGACTGAGCAGAGCTTTCATATGAAGGATTGTTTTCTGAGTGCGAGGGGAGGCCATTGGAGTTTTGAGCGAGAAATGATGTGGTTTTATGAATGTTCTCATAGGACCCCTCTGGGCTGCTGGGTTGAGACTAGACAAAGCAGGGCTTTTCAGCCTCAGTGCTGTTGACCTTCTGGACCAGACAGCTGCTCGTTGCAGAGGCCTGTCCTATACACGGGAGGATGGATGTTCAGCCGCATCTCTGGCCTCTACCCACTAGAAGCCGGTAGCACCCCCCTCCCCAATTATGAAAACCGAAAGTGTGTCCAGACCTTGCCCACATGACAGAATCAGCCCTCGCTGAGAACCACTGTACTGAAAGGGCCAAGAGAAGAAGGGAAGCCATCAGGAGGCCACTGCAGGGTGCTGTTTCAGAGACCACAGTAGTTTGGTACTAGGATGGTCACAGCAGCTGTAGTGAAAAGTCACTGGATTCTTCATATATGTTCAAGGAGTGCCAACAGGTTTTACAGGCAGATTGGAAGTGGAGAATGAGAAAGGAAACAAGGTTGACTCACCCAGTTTTGACCTGAGCACCTGGTAGAGCAGGTTGGTAGAGCACCTGGTAGAGTTGCTGTTGACTGAAATAGAGACAGCAGTGCTGTGTGCTTGGTGATCAGTGTTCCTCCCTCCCCTTTCCCCGGTTCCCTCCTAAACTTATGCACAGCGGATGTGTTGACCTTGAGGCAGCTCTCTGGTGCCTTACACTACACATCTCACCTCATTAGCCAGGAGAGGTTTATTAGAAATGGCTCTATGAAACAGCATCACAAAGTGCTCTGCAAAATATCTTCTCTGTACCTTGTTTTGAATCTCTTTCCCAACCTCATATTATAGTCCCCTTTCTCTTCTTTGGCAAGGTCAATGGGGAGAGTTGAGGCAATCTCCTATCACTGATTAATTGCTGAAACCTACTTGAAGAAACTAGGATCAGCCCCACATCTCACTGAAGCTCTCTTGTTCTTTGGATGGGGGCTGCTGTTCAGTCTGTTTCATGCACTTCTTTCCAGCCACAGGAAGCTTTGCTCTGTGTGTGTGAATATAGCATCTATCTTGTTATTTTTTATCCTTATCCTAAAACCTCAGCTATAACATGTTTGGACACTTCAAGTTCTGCATTACTTTATTTGGAGGATATGTTTTATTTAAGGACCCGCTGTCCGTTAATCAGGGTCTTGGCATGTTATGTACATTATTTGGCATTCTCGCTTACACCCATTTTAAACTCAGTGAACAGGAAGGAAGTAAGAGTAAATTGGTACAACGTCCTTAATTGGGTTTTTGTGGAGAAAAGAAAGTCACCCCAAGAAGATTTTTTCTTAAGTATTAAGTGTGCAAGTTAGTTTCAAAGAAGAAAAAAAATAATATTGCAAAATTCATCAAATGATGTTTGTAAGAAGTAACTCAAATGAAATTTTATTCATAGATACTTATTTCTCTTTTAGAGTACCTTTAAAAAAAAAACCTCGTTCTCTAAAACATAGCTCATGCTTCTTTCCAAAGATGATTATGTGAGGTGTATAGGATGGTTTGATTATAACAAATGAAGTACATGAGATTAAAGTTTTATAATAGGGGCAAAGGAATTTAAACCACTGTGCTACAAATGTACAGTGGTTTTTAAGGAAGGACACATAGGACTCTTCTGCTTGCTTATAGGTGGTCCCCCGATGCTCTTTTATAATTTAGGCCAAAGTCAGAATTTAAAGCTAGCATTTCTGTTTTAGTATAACTTCCTGCTTTTTTAATTTATAGAAATGAACTCTCATTTATCAAAAGCAAAGTGTTGGAAAGATGTTAAGACAGAACCCAATTCTAACAGTACCATTTCTCTAGTAGAAAATTGATACAGGAAATTAGGTGTTTTCGAAAAACTGCAGTGCCTATAGGTATTATCTTATTTTTGAGCTCTTAGTGAACTCTAGAAACTATATGTGAAGTTAACAAACAAAATAGCTCCATGTTTAAATGGCCCAAAGAAAAGGCTGTAGGAGGAATTGAGCCGATTTCTTCTTTTCTGGTGGTGGTTCTCCTGGCCTCTGTGAGCATTTCAGGTTGGTGATTTCTTAATACTACCTCCCTGCTATCACTCCCTACCCCTCACTTTGAGGCGCCCTCGGAGCTTTCTTTGGCATTGAAAGATTTGGAGTGAACTAGGTCAGCTTTTCTAAGGTGGCTGGGGAAAATTCTTGAGCAGCAAGTCAAAGCAAATGTTATCAAAGACTAAGCAGAAACTTGATGAAAATATGAGGAAAGATTTGAAAGAGAAGCAGAGAAATAATCAGTATTTAACAAGTTCCCTGAATTTTTTTAAAGGATACTTAAAAATAAGTTATAGGGGAGATACATGATTTCTACTTAAAGAAATGATAGTCCCACATACTGAATTACAAAATGTATTTCTGCCGACTTCTGACAGTTGAGTTTTCAAAGCAGTTTTTCATAACCTCTCACCATAAATTGACTGAGGAAGATAATGCCTCTTGTAATAAATAATTCTTTTTTTCTAAATATTATTTAGAAACCTTAAATGAGAAAACAACTCTTAAGTGGATAGAGAGCCACGTGTATAAAATACACCTTTTAGGATGTTTTTTTTCCCTGGCCTGTTTGAAATGAAAAGCCTCACTGAAAATCTGTTTTGATAGAATTTCAATGTATCCGTCAATCTGTTGTGTGATCCGTGTGTGTTATTTTCTTTGTTTTAAATGCTCTTTGGTTCTTCTCAGTTTCCAAAGATACATTTTATTGTGCTAAGAGGTACAAAGCAATTTGTCTCACCAGATGAGCCTCAGGCATTATGTTTGCCCAAGAAATATTCCCTGTGTATGTTTAAATTAACATGTAATTATTCCCCAAAAGCTGGAGAAAAGTATTTCAGCACAGTGAGTATTATGTGACCTCTGTGCACTAACAGCTGAGTTAATTTGTGCCATGTACAAATACGTCTTAACTGTAAATAGAACTTGGGAGGGGTGATTTTTAATCAATGTTGGGGGAACGTTATAATAAATGACCAACGTCAATAGGAATGCAAGGAAGATTGGAGCGAGCTAGGGTCAGGGTACATATTGATAAGTAAATAAAACATGTACTGCTGGAACTGAAGTCTGATAAACATTTTTTGCCCTGAGGACCATCTTCCCATTGAAAAGAAAGTTCCTGGGGAAAAAATGCATCAGCTGACACGGACCAACCCCAGAGACAAACCCGAAACGCAGTGTATGGGAGAATGCACGTGAACTCTCCCTTTGTTACAGTTGTAACTGCACCTGTTTTTTATCCTATGTTCGATGGCTCAACTTCAGTTTTTCCTGTTACAAATAAAGAGAACCTGATGTTTTTACTTTAGAATTGCATGTTGGAACTGGCGGAAGAAGGATGGCATGTGTGTGTGCAAGTTGTCTTATCAGACGAGCCTCAGGCATTATGTTTGCCTAAGAAATGTTCTCTGTGTGTGTTTAAATTAACATGTAATTTCTACATGCGTGTGCAGGGGTGACGCTCCCACGTGTGTAGCATCTAATGAAGCAAAATCCTCATCTCCCTTTCAAAAGAGTGTAAGAGAAATCTTTCCCTGTGAAATGAAGTAAGCTTTCTCCTGTTTCATTTTTTGAAATACTTTTTAAACCTTGTTTAAACCTTGCTAGTTTCAAATCATTAGTTGTCAATTTCACTTAAAAGCGACAGCGTTCACCAAGCAGTTCACATTGACTCCAACCATGAACATTTGTTGGGTGAATGAATACACAGAATGGCCAAAGGAGAAAGTTTGGTTAAAAGAATGGAGACCAGATTTATTAGATAAATTGTTTTGCATTTGTTTTCACACTTGAACTGGTTTATACTTGCTAACATCAGGAATACAATGCTCATTTCATTCACTCAGCAAGGATTTATTGAACATGGCTGTGCAAAGACAATCCTATGTTCCCTGTGATCTTAAGAAACATTGTTCTAGCAGAAAAGATAGACACTAATTCAGTAAAAACATCAGTTTATTATAATAAACTTACATCCTAAAAGGAGCATGGTTCTCTGGAGGCTATAACAAAAGAATCTGGCTCAGAATGGACTGTCAGTGAGAGTGTCCGTGAGGAAAGGACAATTGAGCTGAAATCTGATGGGCATATAGAAGTTAGCTGAGTAGAGAGGAAGGGGAATAGCACATAGGCCTATTGGAGGAATTTAGGATGAGTTTAAAGAACTGCAAAAAGGATGGAGGGGAGAGAGTACCTTTAGGGAAGGGGAGATGTGAGACTGGAAAAGAAGGCCAGCCTCAGACCATAGAATACCTTGTAGGCTATGTTAGGACGAGCAAGAGGGCGTATTCCAAGCGTTGTCACAGTCAACTCCTTTGTTTTGAAACACAAGGATGAGAACCAGAGATGCTAGGAGAGCAGTTCGGAGATGACTGCAGGGAGATGAGATAGCTTAGAGGAGTGGTGGTGAGATGACAGAAGTGGGTAGATCAAGAGGATTTAGTCGATGAAATCAAGTGGACTTCGATTGGGCACTGGAGAAGGTGCAGTTGAGAATCACACGTGTTTGGAGGGGGCGGGTAATGACTCAGTGGTAGAGAGTGTGCTTGGCATGCGCTGATTCCTGGGTTCTGTCCTCGGTACCTCTGTTTTAAAAAATTAATAATCACACATGTTTGATATGCGCAGCTTGGTAGAGTCTGTTACTACTCTTTGAGATAGGAAACAAAAGAAGAGGGCTGGGTTGGGAAGGACAGAGACTGAGTTCATACAGGGCCATCTGGATTTTGAGGCATCTTTGAGAAATCCAGTTGAAGTTATTAATTAAACAACCATATAGGTTTAGAACTCAAGTGTTTTCTTTTTAATTAAGGTACAGTTAATTTACAATATTAGTTTCAGGTGTACAGCATACTGAGTCAGTATTTTTACAACTGAGCCTTGAAGAACTCCAGCCTGTGCTGGTAGAGGAAGGTAATTCTGAAAAGGAAGAGTCAGAGAGATAGGAGAAAAACAAGGATGATGCTGTGATGGTAGAGAGGGTGGCCAAAGGTGACAGTATTGCTCAGAGGTCGAGGTAGACTTGCACAGAAAAATAACCATTGCATTTATTGGCAGTTTATTGTGGATCTTAGTAAGGCTGTTTCAGTGGAGTGCTGGTGGCAAAAAGCAGTTTGGAGGAGAGTGAATGGTCAGTGTGTGAGAGGTCAGGATGTGGATCCAAGAATATAGACAGCTCTATTGCTACTGCAACATACAGCATTGCACGCGGTGTTGCATGTTGCTTGACATGAATGGGGGCTTCTTGTGTGTGAGTCTAAGACTTTTATCGCAATGCTAATTTATTATTACAGGGTTAAAATTGTAAAGCACCAGATACCCTGTAAGAAGTGCACATACTTCTGTCACAGGATGATCTTTTGTTCTGAAAAGTAGTTTTATTTTTGGCCTCTGAATGTATTCTTGAAATGTGGGTTGCTGTTAATAAAATCAACAGTTACTTTTGCCAACTGCCAGCAGACTTTGAAAAAACAATTTTGCAAGCCCACTAAGGGATGATCAGTTATACAATCTCTTGTCCATATTACTGCTAAGGTTAAAAAAGGGCAAAGAAATCTGCCAAGAGAGAGACCACTCTGTTTAGGGGGCTAGTGTGGCACATGGCGCATGGCTGGCTTGGATATCAGGATTGTGGCTTCCAGTCCAGACTCTGCCATTGACAAGGATAGCCTTCGGGTTTGGGCAAGTCCAAATCCTCAGTTTCTTTGTGTATAAAACAAGGGCTTGGATCCAGATGATTTCCAAGAGACCTTCCATCTCCAAAATCCCCTGATTTGCTTTTTCAGATTAAAATTACAATTTCTCATTTGCTTATATTGAGAGCAGATTGGATTAAATTAATAAGAAAGATATTGTTTGGTCCTTCTGAGAACTTGTTACTAGGTACTTCTTTACTCATAGAGTCTGTTTTTAGTATATGCAAACATTAAATGTAGTTTATTTTCATATTTGTTATATTAGAAGACATGATTTATCAGAGCTGCTTTACACTTCACATGAAATCATTGGGAGGTGAATTATTGCCAATTCAACCAGTTATTTATGGGTATTTGGAGGATATATTTTGCTATGCTGTTTTTAACTTGGAAAATAGCACATCACCTACACCATAGTTATTCACATTTTTCTATTTAACTAAAAATATTTCATAACTACTATTTAGCATTATTATACATGCCACAAGAGCAAGCCTGCAGATTTCTTTAACCAGCCAGGACTGTGCATTTTTTAAAAGGACTTAATTTTTTAGAGCAGTTTTAAATTCTTATGCATTTCTAAATTTTGAACTTTTTGTTATCCATATGAGGTTATTTTTTCTTTTAAAATCAAATGATCTATATCAACCACATGTCTTCATTTTTTTTCCTGTTTGTCCGTACACTTCCCCAGAAAAGTCAGTTTCCTGTTTTTTCAATTCCCCTCTTCTCAACTTAAAATGAGAGTCAGCCGTTTGGTGCAGGAGACAGATGGGTGGGCTTTGACCCAGGAGGTGGGAGACGCTAAGTCAGTCAGTCTGTTGAGGAGATCTGGGATCTCCAAAATTTGTGATTTACTGCAGGAATGAGCAGACTCTCCATGCCTTTCTCTGCCTGGAGTTTGGAGACAAGACTAACCTTAGAGAATTATGGAGTGATTCCTTGGCCATATTTGCTAGAATCAGAATGTTTTATACAGTATGTATAACTGAATTACTATGCTATACACCAGAAATGAATACAACATTGTAAATTTTTTAAATGTCAAAAAAATTTTAAAGTGTAAGTATAAAGAACAAAAAAAGAGAATGTTTTATGCAATTTAGCAAACCATTATACAGAAAAAAAAGGCAAAAATGCTGTGAAAGACACAGTTGGTTTCCTAACCAAATACTCATTCCTATCCTGTTCACCTTCACTCAAGAGGCTAGAAATGCTGAGTTCTCTTTTTGCTGTGTTGCCATATCCTCAGAATGTGGGTGTCTAGAATTGTGCTAATTGGTAAAGAAGAGGTGAAGAGAACCTGACCCAGAAGTGCTGAGCTGCTTAAGCAATGCCTTCAGCTGCCTGTCTCCCATCTTCTTGTTCTAGATGGAAAGTAAACCCTGGTTTGTTGAAGCCACTTTTAATTGCTACTTGCAGCTAAAAGTGTACCAGTGTTCTATAGCAGTTTGGTACTGCTGTGACAGCCAGGCATTGGATTTTGTATTTTACAAAATTCTCACTCTTACCGTGGATCAGAATTCAAAAGCTGGTCTTCAGACAATTGGTGCAGGTGTGCTCCCATCCGCGTGGGGAGGATGTGAAGGAGATGGCTGGAGTTTGGGCCATGAGGTGAGCTGATTATGAGGAGCTTTGTGGTTGACTCAGCCTGGCCTCTTGGTTACTTGGCCTCAAGCAGGTCTTCTCTTAGGGGCTTTGAATTCCCAGACCTCCCTATTCCACTAGAGGCTTAGAGGGACAGGAAGAGTGTATGGGGCAGTCAGATTGGGGCATCTCATATACAACTCATTAATCCGATGGGCTCCTCAGCATCTCCACTGGGCAGTCTGCTGGAATCTCAGACTGACACCCCTAAACCTGAGCTGATCTCTCCCGACCCCCAAACCCACTCCTCCTGTGGCATTCTCTGACCGTGGGCTCAGATGAAAAATCTCAGAGGCAGTCTTGACATTTCTCTTCTTCTCACCTTCCTACCCAGTCTGGCAGACTGGTTGGATCTACCTTCCTAACATATCCAGAATCCAGCCTCTTCAAACCATCTCCACTGCTATTGCAATGGCCCCTAAATGGTCTCCCTTTCACCCTCACTCCCTACGGTTCCATGGCTTGTTTTCTCCAGCATCTGCCTCTTAGAGCACTGATTCAGGGGGAACAGCCAGCCTCAGACTCTGGGCGAACCTGAAATGAATGCACAGGCACAGACTTAGACAGGAGAAAGCAGGAAAGTCTTGTTTAAACTGTGGTTGCCGCCATTGTCTTTGGGGAAGGAAAATCCAGGTTGAGTTTATTAAGAGCATTATTTTTTCAAGTATAAAGATTTGTGACTACAATATAAACAAGTCATTTGAGAAATGAATACAACAATGTTTGTGACACAGGGATGAAAAATGGTCACTCTCACTTTCAGTTTGACAAAGTGTAATTAGGGATATCTGCTGTATTGCCACTTGCCCATTAATTCTGGATGTTTTCATGTTGAAAATTTTCTGGATGAGCAAGGATTCTCTATTAAAGGGGAAAAAATTAAGATCCTTTAAAATTGTATTAGTGTAAGTAGAATCTCATTTTGCTGAACAGAACCTTTACAGTTACAGTTATAAGGAGACTGTTTCTCCATTTGGCTTGTAGCCCATAACCGCTCTGCTTTGCTAGTAATAAACACTACTGCTTCGCAGAGATGTTTCTTTAATCAGTGTGTTTCCTAAGTGGTTTCCTGCTGACCTCTCTTTTTCCTCTCTCCTAGGTTCAAATATTTAGCAAACCTCCATCCTGACTTCTACTCTTTCTTCTCTTAGAAGCTCCTTGAGAGCAGGAAACTTGTCTGTGGCTAGAACAGTGTCAGGGACTCATTAGACATTGTCTTTCACTATCAGCTCTAAGCCGGTAATTCTCAAAACTACATCTTGAAGAGAGAGGCAATAGCTCAGTGGTAGAGTGTGTGCTTAACATGCACTGGGTTTGATCCCCAGTGCCTCCATTAAAGTAAGTAAGTAATAAACAAACAAACAAACAAATACCCAATTACCCCGCCCCCATAAAAAAGATTTATAAAAAGAAAATTTAAAAATACAAAACAAAACAAAAACACCCACAACTTTAGTTCTGTGCTCCCATCCCCAGCTCATTGTTGCTCTGTCAAGTAGAAATGGTATCCCATGAAGAATGCAGTTTTCTCCAGCTCCCAGCTCAGTCTGGAAGTAACTGGTGTACACACTTCGGTGTCCAGCAGGAGTGTTTCATCCTCCCGCTTTATCATATAGAATCCTGAAAAGTCATGTCCTTGAGGGTCAAGACCAAAATTCATATTTTTGACTGCTTCTTCAAAGACATTCTTGCATGACTTTTAAGTGAAACTGTTTTTTTTTTCCACTGTGAGTCCAGAGGGGTGAGGAATGATACAGCGACTGCTGGTACAGCTGGTGTCGTGACCTTGATTTCATGCCAGCAGCATTAGCCACCATTGCCTTTGCACATTGGGGCAAAAGTCGACATGGTGAAAAAACAAATGAAGTGTTAGTATTATTAGGAAAGGAATGTTGATCTTACATGACCCTTCCGGAGGGTCCACGGACCACACTTTGAGAACTTCTGCCCTAGGCCTGCAGGATGCCATGGTAAACAAGACAACAACATCGCTGCCCCTGTGGAGCTCAAGTTCAGTGATGGAAGACACTGGACAAGTAGAGAGTAAACAGGATGATTTCAGAAAAACCGGGTGAGGGACCCCGTGAAGAGAACAAACAAGGAGCATGTGACAGAGAGGCACCAGGGGTGGAGGCAGGGCTGGTATTGAGAAGGCACCTCTGAGGGGGTGGTGCCTGAGCCCAGAGCTCCAGGAGGAACGGGTCCACTGCGAAAGACCGGGGAAGAGTTTCCTGAAAAGATGAAACAGCAATGGCCAAAGCCCTGAGGCAGGAAAGAGCTTGGCATCTGAGAGAGATAAGAAAGAAGGCAGTCAGGTCCAAATAACAGCAGTATTTTTTATGGCCCTTAAAATTCTTTCAGCGGGATTCCACATTATTATCATTACAAATGGTAACAGTATATGTATGAACTTATTCAGTCCTTGCAATAATCCTGTTATCCCCATTTTACAGATGAGGAAACTGTGGCATGCAGAGATTAGAAAAGTTGATGTCAGAGCTAGAACTTCAGTTTGACCACAGAACCTACACTCATAATCTTTAGAGCCCCTTTTTGAGAAAAGAATCTCAATTAGTAAAAACTTCCTTGTAAATGCACATAAAAGCATAATGTGTGTGTAATATATCTGATTCATCCCTCTTTACTTTGGGTTTGGAGAACTGGAAGCTCTCAAAGCCACCTACATAGGAATCTTATCACTCAAGGAAGGAACTGTAGCCATCAGCTCTGTGGAAAGGAGTTTCTCTGAATAATTCCCCTGAAAAGTTTCTCTCAGTGTGAGCAGCCACAGATGCA